TATCTGCGGCTGAATGGCAAGCTTGGGCTCAGCTGGGACAATGTTTTAGCCTCAGGACTTCCATCAGGCTCCTGCTCCTGTTAGCAGATCATTGAAGTCCCTGTGCAAACAGGCACGGAGGGGTTTCCAGGGCAGCTCTGACTTCAGGCGGAGGAAGGACAAGTCGACGTGAAGGAGCATGGAGCCTTCTTGGCACTTTGCTTCCAACATCTCGTCCACAGGAGGATCTCTGCCACCGCCACAGGCTCAGACCGTGCCTTTGGAGTGAGGACATCTGGAAACGTCCCCAGGGCGAGGCAGCAGCACAGCACAGAGCTTTCCTCACCAGCCCCTTGCTCAGCATTTGGGGACGTTTCTCCAGCACCTGGGAACATCCCGTCCTCCCCAGCACCCTCAGACCCCCGTGGCCTCACTCCACTGTCTCGCCCACCAGCCCTGCTCACCCTGGCAAGCGCAGCACCAGCTTCGAGTACAGGTTCAGCACGAGCTCGCCCCCGCGAAGGACCTTCCACGACACTCGGCCGTTCTCAAGGTTCAGCACCTTCAACCTGGTGGTCGACACCGAAGCAAACCCACCTTGAGATGGCAGAATCAGCAGGAGCAGACCCTGTGGTCCCATCTCTTCCTGCTCATCATTTGCTCTGTTACCTGTGTGGATATTCCCAGTTAAACATGGAGGTGGGGAAGGGCCAGCCCCCGCTCCAAGAAGAGCCAACTTCAAAGCAGGGGCAGGTTGCTCAGGGCTGTGTCCCACTGAGTCTTGACCATGTCCAAGGGTGGAGATTCCCCCACCTCTCAGGGTGCCCATCGCAGTGTCACATCACTCCCATGGGGAGTCTCTGGTTGGAATTTCCCCTGACACAGCTCCTCACGTGAGCTGCGAGCCCGGGACTGGTGGTTTGTATAAGAGGGAGGATCTGGTCCCCCCGAGGACCCCTGTGGGCCAACCTCTCCTCTGAACATTATTTGGTACCCTGCAGCGAGCACCACCACTGGGCTTCTGCTCCGACTTACCAGGCAAAGTGTGTTGACTTGCGAGGGACTCCATTACCCAGTAGTCCTCCATCACCCAGTAAACCTCCTTCACCCAGCAGTCCTCCTTCACCCAGCAGTCCTCCTTCACCCAGCAGTCCTCCTTCACCCAGCAGACCGTCGAGACCAAGTAGACTTCCATTGCCTAAGAGACCTCCTTTTCCAAGCAGCCCTGTGCCAAGCAGACCTTTCTCTCCAAGAAGGCTTTTATTGCCAAGGAGGCCTTTGCCGAGGAGACCATTGCTGAGGAGACCATTGCCAAGGCCTTCCCCACCAAGGATGCCTGTGCCGAGCAGACCACTGCTGCCAGGTTGTCCTCCTGCAACAGTCAGACCTCCATTACTGTTCTGGTTTTCACTGCCAGGAAGCCCTCCTCTCCCAAGCGCACCCATGCCAAGTAGACCTTCCTCACCTAGGAGGCCTGTGCCAAGGACCCCAGATCTGCTGGATTCATTTCCTGCATCAAGGGGACCTCCACTTTTTTCTCCTCTCGGACTTCCTTTCCCAAGGAGGCCGGTACCAAGTAGGCCACCTTCACCAAGAAGGCCCGTGCCAAGCACTCCACCTTTTCCGCTGGTGAGACCTTCACCACCGAGAAGACCAGTACCAAGCAGACCTGCACCAAGGAAGTCCCAGTTACTAATCAGACTTCCACTGTTGGAAAGATTTCATTGACAAGAAAGGTTGGTTCAGCTGTGTTAGGTTGACCTGCTCGTGAGGTCTCACGGGGACCCCTGAGCATCCTTGCACAAAGTTGGGTTCCCCGTGGAGCCGAGCCTGCCAGGAGGCAGGTCCCTGATGAGCAGAGGGATGCTCCACGAGCCCAAAGTGACACAGGACACACCGGGACCGTGGCGGGCGTGGCCATCTGTGCCACGACACTCCCCCTGGAAAACATGGAAAACCTCCGAGCTCACCGTTTTTGGGTTGCGCTGGGCTCAGCCCAAGGACACTGCCCAGGTTGAGGAGGCCCTGGGAGGGGGGCAGGAGGCCCCCAAGGAGGACGAGACACCAGAAAGGCAGCATCTCTGGTCCCAGCACCTGTGGAGAGACCCACATCAGCCCAAGCACCAACCCCACCCTGCAGGAATCGGCAGCCTGGGCACCGGTCTGGCTCTCCATCCTTCACGTGCACTGCTCTGGGGCGGTGGGGCAGGACCCCCTGGACATGCAGCCCCCAGACCCCGATGCCAGCCCCAAGGGACCAGCCTGGACCCGCAGCACCCTTTTCCCACTCAGAAAGGTCAAACTGCTTCTGGTTATCATGGAGCAACTGGAGCACGGTGACGTGCTCCTCCAGAGTCATTGATGTCTCCGTGCCCGGTGGGGCTACTCTGCTGCAGAGCTGGGTGCCTGACATCGCAGGGAAGCTTGGAGGGAGAAAAAGCCATTTTAAAGAGAGCAAGAAAGATGGAGATGAGGCAGGAGGACCTTGTACTGAGTGAGACGGATGGCTTCCAACCGCTCCGAAATGGCCCTGAAAGAAGAACACTCAAAGGGGCACAGCCGGATAAAAAATGGCGTGTGTCAAAGCGGTGTCCTTCTCCCTGTTATGAAGAACGCCTTGCGTTATTAAAGCTCAAAGCGCAGCCAAAATCAGACTCACTTTTCCGTGGGCAGGTTGTTTGTTTTTCTCATCTTGCTCCATTCAGGCTATGAAAAGAGTCCACTTTCCCTGTGTTTGATCTGCCACTAGTCAAAAGAAAGCACCTTCAAGGACCTCATGTTCCCGCATGAGCTGGACTCCTTGGGCTTGCAACCAATGCTGTGGAGTGTTTGTTTATGCACAGAAAGGTGTTTGCAAAGAAATGAAAAAGTCACCCGCTGAAGCACTGCCGTAGGTCCCAGTTGAAGGGAGCACCCGCCTGCACAGCCCACGTCCCGGGCTGGACACCCCGGCTTGTCTCCTCTGAGAAAAACAATGTATGGGCTGCAGATTTGAGATTCAGCACTGAGAAAAAACATTATTTAGGTCAGACTGAACAACTTCTTTATCTGTTCCAGGTACTTTAAAAAAAAAATCCTCTATGACAGTTCTTGGCACAATTAAATTAGACTTTAATTCACTAGACTGTCTTTTACATTTTCCCTTTGATCAGCATGTAATGATGCACAGCTCCTGTAGCTGTGATTATTGAACAGGATAGAAAGATAGAGGCTTGAGCAGCTTCCATTGAAAATTGTGTCAAATAAAATCAGTGGGATTTGTTGGAGGGTCTCTGCAAGACGTGCGTAGCATTGTAAAAGGATGCCAAAATGGTTTTCAGGTCTTTTAGAAGAGCTCTCAGAGAGAATACATGACAAAATGACAAAGTGGACAACTGTCTCTGCAGTTATTAATGATATCTATTGGGTTGGTACCTCTTGGCCACACACGTTTAAGTGTTCTAAACATCTCATACATGCAAAATGCATGTATGGCTTTGCAGAAAAATGCTTATTTTATATCAGCTGAGATGAGATCTGATAAGCTGAAAATCATTCTGAATTCTGGTCACCAAGATCATGAAAAAAATCCTAGTCATTTCTGCTAGCTTAGTCATTATAACAAACTTAACAACAACAAAAAGAAATGTGGAATTTGACAAGCAAGAGCTCTACTAGCTTTAAAAATTAATTTTCATAAATGATTAAATGCCGCTACAGAAATCAAAGGAAAACATCATTAAAATTCTTGCATTTAAAGCCGAAGTACACTTTGCTGCAGGTTGTCTAATGGGAACAGGAGCTCTGTGGCCACGGAACCTTAATGCCACTTACCTGGAGCCTTTGATGTTGCGGTGCAGCTGCCCACGGCCTCTCGGGGTGGCGGCAGGAGCAGCTCTTATATACCCGAACTGCAGGAACAGGGAAGGTCCAGGGAAGGACGAAGTAGGAATAGTTCCTCTTCGCTGGCTGTGAAGTGTGAACCCTGCACCAGCTCACGTAGCAACGCCGGACCGTGGCCAGCAGCACCCACCGAGCCCGGCGGCTCACCCCCTTCCCTCGGGCTGG